GTAGATACAACTTCTCAAATAAACGTACATGAAGTTCTGTTGTGCAGAGCAATACTACTCTGAAGAGTTACTTAGTGTCAGCTGACTGTCACGTGCGTGACCTGATGGATCCTTTGGAGTTTAGATGTCTCCACACACAGGTAATCCCTACTTTATTAATCTAAGACAAGTGTCTGCGTTTAGGCAAGAGCACTAACCTGATGGTGGGTTGAGACCAGCAGTCTGCTGATGGCAGGGGGGTTGGAAAGAGATGATTTTTAAGGTGCCTTCCAACCCTTACCATTCTATGATTCTAAGAGACTGCTGGAAAAATCTGATGCACCTTCCCTCAGCATCAGGGTTTTCCACAGATCAGTAAAAATATATGAATTTGAAGGGAGGACTGGTAATCTGGCACAGGCAGGCTAACACTTCTTGAGTGGAAGTCTTGGTATCAAACCACTGCTCATCAGAAATCCATTATTTTGAGCAACACCTGAGCTGGAAGGGGGTTGGAGATGGCACAGGTGCTTCTCTGCCACTGTACCTCCCCACAAAGGGCTGAGCTGATGAGTTCCTGAGCATGCCGACTGCCTGGGATCAGTTAGCCAGGCTTGCCTTAATACCTGCAGAGGATGGGTCTCAGCTGCACGCTTGCTCCTTTGAGCTAATACTGCACATGCTTGCTGACCCCTCTTGAGCTAAACTGAGACCTATAATGTACAGACAGTGTTTATTCTGCTTCCACCTGCTCTCAGCAGTGCAGCTCTGCTGTGGAGACTGCTCAGGCCTTCCTTGATGTGAAACATGTTGAGGTTAGCTTCTTGGTTCTGTTACTTCATTAGTATTTTTATTGTTAGGAACCAAGAGCAGCAGGGGACTGGCATAGCTTTCCATAGCTAGTAACTAGCTAAAGGAACAGGCAGAGAGATCTTGCACCTTCCAGGTGCTTGTTTGAGAGTAGTGGCGTACTATGAAGTACATGTGGACTCAAGTTTTGCTGTTGCTGTGTAATTACTTGCTATGAGGAGCTGAGCTGTTGAAAACTCCTAGAGAGTTGGAAGCTGCTTCTGTCAGTGCTGTATTTCAAGTGTGGAAGTTGAAACCTGTCTTGAATGACAAAAAACTTTCCCACCAATTGTTTGCAGCTGTAGGTGCATGACAGGGTGAGCTCTTGTGAGTGGAATTAGCTGGAGGTCATGTAGTCCAGCCTCCTGTGCGAAACAGGCCCAGCTAGAGCAGGCTCTCATAACCTAGTTCAGTTCTGTAGAGCCCCAAGGATGGGGATTTCACACAAGCCTTAATCTTGTAACTACTTTTCTTTCCTGGCTGGAATTTCCCATCCTCTAAGTTACGGCTGTTGATTCTTGTCCTGCCCCTGCATGTCTCAGAACAGCCTGGTTCTGCCCTTTCTCATGAACAAAATAACTGCAGACAGCAGTTACGATCTCTCCTCAGCTTTCTGTTACAGGTGAGCAAACACCATTCTCCATCCATCCTCAATAGCCAAGCCCCCTGCCTGACTTGCTCCAGTATATTGCTGCCTTTCTTGCGCTGGGGAGCATGAGATTGGATGTGGTATTCCAGATCTGCTCTGACAGATGTGAGAGGTAGAGCAGAGGGCTGGAATAGGCTGGTTTGCTGTTGCAGCCTGGCCTTTGCTGCGCAACTGTGCTGGCTGGCTCTGTTCAGCTCCTGCAACGCTGCTCCCCAGACCACAGTGTTGCTTCGGAGGGTGCACATGCTATTGCACACAAACCTAGCAAACTGCCCCTCAAGCTGAAGGGGTGCTGGCAAAGTGCATCTCTGGCTCGAGCAAAGGGAGCAATGCCCACTTCCACAGGCAGGGGGCCAAAGCGGTGTCACTAGAGGGCAATGGCAGAACGGCCTCGGTGTCCACACAGAACGTACTGAGAACTGGAATGGGATGCTGTCTGCTTGCAGCCAGTGGCTGATGACTTCAGTTCATTCTGACTTAGCTCTGGCTATTCGATATCACTGTCCTAAGATGCTGTCTCCAGTTGCTTACAGGGCAAGCAAGGTGAACCTTCTGCTGATGAAGTAAGCCACTCTCCTCATGTAGCATCAGCAAAGACTGTAACAGCAGCAGTCAGATTTTTCT